CCCCTCATGAAATATGTAGAGTGCAAGTTCCTATCTGCACATCCACCTTCTAGTCCCTTTGTCCAGGAAAGGCCAGTGCGCGAGCCGGAGCCGATCTTGGTAAACAAGGGCCACCAGGCAGGGCCCACATTGGACAGGGCCCACACAGACACACACAAGCTCGCACTCACAACAGGGCCCCTCCTCCCCGCTCCCAGTCATACTTTCAAACAGGTGCCATAGCCTACTGAACTCAATTCATGTTATACCCACACTGGTACTTGTTTCTTTTTCCTGAGGGTTTTATTTATTTAATGGTCAAGAAGGCTGGCGCTTGTCAACAGTAACTTTGAGCACCACGACCTGTTCTTTCAGGATTTCTGCTAAACCGAATTTGCGACTTAATTGAAGGATAGGCTTCTTTTTTTTTTCTTTTTTTTGGGGGTTCTGACGTTAATGCAAAGTAATTAAATGGCTGTGATAAAACACCAGGGCTTAGAAAATGGTGTCTGGTCATCAATTTACAAATCACAACTTCTAAGTCTGTACTGGGTGGCGGGTTTTGTTTGTCAGAGTCTCTTTCCTAAGATAGGAGGGATCTAAGATTTCATTCCTTGGAGAGCCTATTGCCATCTGTTTTTTTTTTTTAATAAATGCTAACCTTATTATTTTCTTAGACTTGGGACAATCTTTTTGCAGTCAAATCCTCAAACTTCCACTTCTTTAAAGGTGCAGTGACCTATATAACACCTCGTATGATATCATACTGATGCCCATGGAAATAAAATAATTCCACCACCTAAGAACATCCCTAAAATCTGTTGAAATGATACGGGTACCATATGTGTTGTTGGGATTTTTTCAAAGAATGGTAGAATGAGGGATCCTACAGAAGTTTAATATATGCAACATCCTCAGTGTTTTAACATTTGGTGAAGCTGAACAAGAAGGCAGGATTTGGCATGATCTGTATATGCACACGGATTAAGAACTGTCATCTTTAGGTGCTTGCCCACTAACTGGCAGACCCCCCCACTGCTCTTCCTGTATCTATACCCATAACTTAGATTCTCATGTAATTAGCAAACGACATATGCAGCTGAAATCAAAATGGGAGGCATGCCACATAGGGAAACAGCTCCAGGAGAATGACAAAAAGGCAAAATCCTGAAGCGGGAAGACTCTCGACAAATTAAATCTATCAGTGGGCAGTGGTTAGCACTGCTGCCTCGCGGTGCCTGGGTCCCTTGTCCAATCCTGGTGCTGGGAATTTAAAAGTGTAAGTAGCTTAACTAACATTGCAGATAGGAAGCCGTTCACACTGAGTGCAGAGGATGGTGAAGACAAAGGCATTAGAACCCTGGTACACTACAGTAGCTATGGAACATGGCAGTAGTACAGAAATACTTTCACTTACAATGGGACACTGTGCTTTACTTAATTTATATCTGAAAGAATGGACACAGCTCAGGCTCACCAAAGACGGGGAAGACGAGGAAGGATTCTGCAGTGTCTGAAATAAAAATGATTGTATCACAGAACACACAAAGCAAGGATGTAAAAAAAATGTAAAAAAATCAGACAAATTATTGGAAATATGATTCACCATAGAAATGGACCGTCCTGAAATATGAAGACTGTAAACAAACGGTCACTATATTATATTCCAGCAAAATATTATATAAACTACTCTTCAGTATATACTATAATGTCTTGCAAATTTCATTTGAAATAAACCACAAACGTTTATGACCCATTCTTGGGTTAGAAGAAACCCGGACAGTTCTTTTTCCCCAGAAAGGGACCTCAACATGACAGGAGGAAAAAATAATGCAGACCCAAGTTTCAGTTCACAAAACACAAAAATTCCATGTGGAATTGCATTCATGAATTAAAACGTTCCCAAGTTCTATTTAATCTCCATTCATTTTATTAAAAAAGCATGTACACAATCTGTCAGAACAAACACTAGACTTCAAATCATATTGCCACAACGGAATAGTCATGATAAGCTTGTTGTCAGATCTAGTTTTGAAAGGGAATTCTTTAGTCTCCTATGGGTCATCTTAAACTGACAGTTTTCTTAATTTCAACACTAAGTAATCTAGTCTTTAACTAGTAAACTAATCTCCATGATCACAGAACTGTTAAATCATAAAGCACAGGTCTGTGCATAGAATTTGTAATGGTTCAGACCTGAGCCTGGACATAACATGGGCTTACTGTGCTTGTTTTAGCGCCAAACAACAGAGAAAGATGGTAAAGTTGTAGTCGAAACTGAATTTCTATTTTGCTTGAACCTTACAAGCTCAAGGGATCACATTTAAGCATCTTAAAAGTGCATGAATTCTGAATGAAGCTCACAGTTGTTTTTTCTTTCTTTTAAGCTAAGATCAAAACAAGACAATCGATGTCTTCTACATCGGTGTCTTTCAGGCCCTATGCCAAAACATGTGCTGTGATTCAATTGCATCATGTTTTTTATAGCAATGACAGTGCTGAAACTAAAAGAAATTCAACAGACTACAGTTATGTAATTATGATAAACTCAACATCTGGATGGTTTACTCAGTAAGAATCAAGCTTGTAATCACTGCATTCTTTCACAGAACCAACCCTCTAGTTAAATTTTTCATTTGTATAAATTTTCATATCATTCACAACCACTTAGTTAGGAGAAAAACAATAGGAAAATATTTGTACAGAAATCTTGTTCACCTTCTCTGTTTTTACATTGAATGCTGCCTTTTGTAAGATTTTAATTTTAAAAGCAATCACAGACTGTATACTGCATCCGATGTTCTGCTGTTTTGGAATAACAAACGCACAATGACAAAACCCCTGCAGCTGTAAAAGGTTTTTTAAGTGCAGTCAGTCAGCAATAGAATTAAAAAGAACAGTGATATTTCTGAAGCCTCAATTTTTAAATAAATGTTGCTATGACTTAATGTTTCTTACTATTTTCATTATTAAGCATGTGAGTAGGCCCAGTAAAGTCTAGAAAACCTACTCTACATGAAGTTCAAAACAGCACTATGCCATACAGGATCCCTAAGGGTTAGAAAATACATCTACAGTATAACATCTGTTGACAATTGCTCGAATGAAAAGTTTTTTTTAATTGCTTTATTATAAATTGTTTGGCATTTTGTTTTATTTAGGGAAATGTCCTAGTATCAGGAAAAAATAACAAGTGATGAACACATACACAATCTCTAACAGGTTATCCCGTAGTAGATACTGTATCTGGAAATAGGATGACAATACTGGTAATCATCAATCGACAGTACTGTGAAGGGACGAGGTGGAAACAAAATTGGAAGATAGCAAGTACTCCTTAATTCTCTTCCAACAAAGTTATGTCCAAAAACATCGCGACTATCACAGCACAAGCACCATCCTTAAAGCTGTCTAGGACATACAGCACTCGACGGTATTCAAACCCCAAAACGGTTGTCACGCACAGTGTAGTCAATTTGGAGAAAACTTCAGGGTTTTTTACAGCATAAAAATGTATCTTAAAAAACCCCAATGTTTTTCTCAGGGCTAACTATTACTGTGTACACATATAGTTGCACAGCCACAAAAGGTAGAGCAACTAGAAACTACAGTTCTACAAACTACTCTTTTTTTATCATATTTGAAGAAAACTGTTTCCACGATTATGGCAGAAAAGTGTTTCTGTTCATAGCTTCCTAATGAATGAACAAAACTCGTATCAACTCCTAATAAGGACAACGTCGTGTTCCTTCTGTAAAGAAAAAAAACCGTAGTAGAGACTCACGTAGAAATGAGAATAAAAAATGCTGTTTCTTGAAATTCACGATCAGCTCCCTAACTGTAAGTCGATTCTTTACTTTAAATCATGCTTTCCAAAGTCAGGCACGTCTGAAGGGAAACACCAAAAAACAAGATTACAAACCGCGCTGTAGCCCCACCTACATTTTAATGTCAAACTGCCTCTAGTCTAAGATCATATAGGAAACATGACTGTAGTGTGATTCTAACCTCTGTATGTATCCGCAAAATAATTGTTACACAAACCTTATAAGCCTCATCAAACCCCGACCCCGATCTCCATCTCCCGGTCTCTCTGCAGCAAGCTGCCGCTCTCTTTTCGCCGAGGCGGAAGTTGTGTTTTCCTATTGGCTAGACGTCAGATTCCCTCCCCCGAGCTCAGACATGGGCCGGGCACAGGAAACTGCCGCACATGTGCTTCTGTTTAGGGGCGGTGAAGACAGCACAGAAACCCAAGATGTTTAGGAATGAGGTGCTTTGCGCTGTCGAGGGAAAAAAAAAAACTCGATTCATTCTGTCATGCTGTGTTATACTGTAATGGAAGTGCACTCAGTGTTCACTGTGTAATGAAGGGAAGCACGTCGTTAAAAGGGAGGTTAGTTGTTGTTCAGCAGACATTAAAAAAATAACTTCCATCAATCCTCGTCCTGGAGGGCCGGAGTGCCAGCAGGTGTTCATTCCAGCTCGGCTCTGAACGACTAAATCAACCCATTACAGGTTTAATTGGATCAGGTTAACAACTGGTGCTTTATATAGACCTAGGAAACCTAAAATACACAGCTGCCCTCCACCGCTGTCTCCAGGAATAGGAATGCACACCTTGCCTGAGCACAAAACAGGATCGCTAACCAGGCAAATAAGGGACACAAGGCAGGATGCACCCTGGGTTGGCGTGTGTTTGCAGGACATTCACACAGAGGGCACTGTAAAGACAACCATTAAACCCACCAGCTGTGAGATACCGCATGGCTAACTAGCACACCGCCCACCAGTGTGTGTTCTGTGACACAAAATTGTCGAAAGCTTTGCTGTGTTCCTTGAAAAGTATTTAGTGTACTGTAAATTGCTTCTTAAAATACAGTTATTAAATCACAAGGAATTCAATTGTCCTGTATGTGTGTCAATGCAACTCCCCCTTTAAAAATAACCTAAAGGTTTCTGTATCGTGTCCCTATATTTCATCAATTGGTTTTGCTTTTGTGAGCAAAAGAGGGTTGGCCACTGGTGATGTCCCTTTGTAGAGTTATCCTGTCAGATCTCAGGAGCAAAGCTAGGCTGGGCCTGGTCAGTACTGCAGTGGTAGACCCTCCCAGGTAAACCAGCAGGTTGCTGCTGCAAGTGTGTTAGTGAGCCAGTACATGGCTTCCTTTCCTCTGGGCCAATGGTAACTGCCAGTACCAATGTCCCATATTGCTAAGCATGTACGTATCTCTCTACTTTCCTGAGTAGTTGTGGAGCACCAGGATCAGGCCACTCTTCAGCTGGGACACCATCCTTTTCTGGTTATATTTAGCATTTATGGTGACTTGGGGCTGCTTAGCTGTGAGAGGTGTTGTTCCTAGAATGAGTTGTTAAACTGAGTTCCTGACTACTTCATCATTAAAGATTCATTGGTGTTTTCCAGAAGAGCAGGGGTGTTAATCCCACTGTTCTGGCTAAATGCCACTTGGGGTTTGTATAATGTGGCCTACCGAAAGTTAATTCAATTGGGGTTGCTGGTGCATAATGAGTTCCCTCCTACATGTGAAGTACTACAGTATGTAATCCTTTGGGCTGAAAAATACAAAGTACTGCAAAGAACTGTATAAGCTCACTTATCAAAACATTTTTTTAAAAATGAAATGTAGGACAATTTAAAGCAATCTCCACATAAGTCTGCAAAAGTAAATGTAAAAAGATCATAAAGATAATAAGATCTGTACTCTATTTCCAGTCTAAGTCCATTTATCCAGCACACATTTGTGATCCCATGGACAATGTGGTAAAGCAGTGAAGTGGGACAGTCTACTCCCTTTCTCAAAAATACCAAGCAGACAATCACATTTATCGTGTTCCTGTTGGAGAGGTGATTTAAAACCAGAGTAACAGGAGACAATCCTCATAAACACAGACAGTAAACTCCACATCCTAATTCCAAATAGATCTTCTTTCTGTTTTGGCACATACTGTATAAGCAGAACTGATCATATTTGGAGTCCTACCCCTATCAAACTGGACCACCATTGCCCTGGATGGAGAAACTATAGAGTAGCCAATCAAATCTAACTTGTATGACTCTGGGTGCTGGGCCGAAGCTATTACATCTGGAGAAGATGCATGTAAACACATGGGGTAACATGCAAACTCCACACAGACAGATGGCCAGGAGTAAGACTCAAACACAGAACCCTGTAGCTGTGAGGCAGCAGTGCTATCAGCCACTTCACTATGCTACGCAAAAGTCTTTAATAGGTTCTGAGGAAGACAGCACAAGAGTCTACGGCTCAACAATGAAAAGAGAATTTGGAAATACGAGTGAATACAAAAGAAAGAAGAGATGGATTCTGCAGTTGTGGGTGTCTGGAACAAACCACCCAGTTATGCCTTTGAAGCACACACAGGCTGTTGAGGTCTTTGAAGACATGAAGAGTGAATGATTTTCTGACTGAGTAGGAATTAGCAACCAAATAAGCACAAACAGCTGAATGACTGCCTCTCATTTGTAGCCCTTCTAACGATTCATCCATTTTATTTTCTCTTTTCTGAGAATTACAAAAGAAATGTATAGGTACTTCTAGTCCAGAGGCAGTCAGGACTAAATCACAACAGTCATTTAAATATGGAATATAACTGAAATCTTTAGTAAACACATCAAAACAGTTTAAAATGTAATTTTTCAAACATTACAACCTTCAAGGATTTCATGTACTGTAAAATGAAAACAATATGCTTGGGAGTCTATAGCAGGAGTCTCACTGCATGTTTGTGCTTCCAAGGATGGAAAGGTCATACAAATTCACAATAAAACCATGGGAAGGCTTTTAACATTCACATCACTGCATGCTTCACGTGTTCGTTTTAAAATGCCTAAGGTGGATTTCTGAAGTAAAACACACTTGATTAAGGCTGAATTCAATAAGAATGACAAAACAAATGTCCAGGAAGACACAAGTCCTTATAAATCAATAAAGTTCCTTTTAAAACTATTTTTTTTAATGTTTGCACTATGATGTGCTATACAACACTTCATCATTTGCCAAAGACGAGCAAGGTTTCAGGCAGCCGGTTCGCATGTTAGACATGTATTTTAGTAAAAACCCTATTCCTTCACCGGGAAATCAGGGTTGTAGTACAACACAAACTTGTCTGGGTGTCAGGCTCCTGCAACTGGAAAGAATGTTGAAATCTGTGACGTCAGGCTGCTGTCTTTGGCTCTGATAATGTTTAAGACTCAGGCACCCAGAAGCATGCCCATCACAGAGGCGCAAGTGTTCAACATGGATGGAGATGTGCCGGTTGGTTGTCAAATCAAATCACATCAAATCAAATCAAAGTTTATTTATCAAATGCACAACAGTACGGCGTGCAGCAGTAGTTGCTGGCAATTAAATGTCTTTTTCTGCGAGCTCACAAAAATTACAAGAATCACAAAAATCACAAGAATTCACAAAAACACAAAAATCACAAAATTGAGGTTACATTTTTTAAATTGAATAAAACTCAATGTGCGTAGAGCTGCTATGTGTCCATGGTGTATGCAATATATACATGTAGTACAGTTATGCTGAATAAAGTGAGAGAATGAATATAATTCAAGTGGGTAGCTGTGTCAGCATGCGTAGGCTGCAAAGGGACAAGTAATAGGTTTATTCCATGCTGAAAAAAAGAAGAAAGAGAACACAATGTCTCTCTCACACCTGAAGAAGGCTCCACGGCCGAAACATTGTGTTCTCTTTCTTCTTTTTTTCAGCATGGAATAAACCTATTACTTGTTCCTTTGAATATAATTCTGAACATAAGCTGAATATAATATCTCTTGTGAGAGAATAACAGGGCTCAGAGCCGTAGAATGAACTCTTTGTGGTGACGTTTCTCCCCAAGTCCTCTTGAAGGTTTTCAGAGTCCTGGGATAAAATGTTTTTTTTACCAAATCTTTCTACAGCTCTCTTGGGCTATCAGCTCATGCAATTCAAAAGTGTGGCTGCATTGACTGAATTAATAACAAAACTACTTATTGTATATTACATTTCTATCTTGCAGTCTAACAGACATTTGCTGTAGTAAAGATTTGTTTAATATTATTGTTCATTTACTTATTTATCTTACTCTCTTAATCCAAGGAGACAAATTCAAAGCAATCGTTTTACATGGCATAAAATGGTATGTGTGTGCAGGAAATACATTCAATACTCAAACCCTAAGAAATCACAGGTACTTTGTTAGCACACTCACATTAACACATCTAAAAAGCCTCGTATCAATGTAAGCTTTAACAGTGTTCCAGGGCTATTTATGGAATAGTTTTATGTTGCAGAGGAGTGATTGCCTTTGTACTTGGATGATATGTGCAGTGACAGCTATAGCAGGCCATTCATCAGTTAGCCACCAGATGGCACTATTCTAAGAAAAAACTTTTCACCGTGATGCAATTATAATAACACCTACTGTACATGAGAAGCTATTGAACTTTTGGTAGAAGGTTGAAGGAAAAGCTTGGTATTAACAGGGCAGATGTGATATTCTTCAGAAGTAACATTATATATTTCTATAGCATATCACTAATTTGTCAGCTTTGTAGATAATACAACCATTTCATGGCTCTATATTTAACATCTGCTTCCATGTAATTACCATGCTGGAGAAATAAGTCACAATGAGATGTCACCGAGGCATTACGAGTGATTTACAAAGGACTGTATCAACGCGAACTCAATCTGACATAATTTCACATGGAGCTATTGTAGAATAGAATATATCCCATTTAAAATGGTCAAGTATGTTAAACATTATACAGCCACGGGATTGTTTCAAATCTAATATTCAAAAAGTATGAATTTGGAACATTTGGGTTTTTTTTACTGAGTAAATCTATATAATTTTGAGATTTATTTCTGAAAGATTTTGTCTGGTACATATTTTCCACCATAGATATTTAAAATAAAGATTATGAAAGATATACTGCATCTTGAATACCATAAAAAGCTGTTGTGTCATTGCATGGCACAGCCCAGTCTCATCCATCACCCAGTTATCCATTGAAAGACGATGTGTGGTACACCAGAGTTCAAATGACTAGCAATACTCCAGTGGAAAATATGACACTACCATTTACTGAAA